TCATACTCAAAGTGTGTCTACCTATGCCTCCATTTTGGCCAGAAGTTCCTCATATTTTTAACATACACATTTATACTTGATTTTATCTCTTAAGTGTAGAGTTAATATCTATATATTCTTGCATTTATTGGGGAAAGCTTTCAGTTACTACTTCTCTTCCTTCCCTATATTGCATATTGAAACCATTCATTATATTTTTCCATTTTATAGATGAGGGGACCAAGGTTTAGAGAATTTAAGTGAACTTATTTGAGTGCCACATTTGGGAGTTGAACCTAGGCAATCTACCTTCAGATCTTGTTTCTGCTTTTTTCATTAGACTTTACTGCCCAATTGGAGAGTTTAATTCCAGATTTTGATTTATTATTAAAAAGTATATGAAACAGCTTAAGTATACATTTTACTGGTTTCTCTCCCATTTCTTATACATATACCTTTCATTTTATTGTGCTAAGGTACATTCTTGCGTCACTATTCCAGAAAGACTATATTCTTTGCTGACATTCACATGCTAGTTTGGCTAGGTATAGAATCTTAGATTCACATTTATTACCTTTTAGAGTTTTGAAGACATTGTGCCCTTCTCAGCTAGTATTTAGTGTTATCAGTCAGAGATGTCTGAAGCCATTCCTTATCCTTCAGAATTTTCTACTGACTTCTATTCCTTTCCTCTTCATTGCAGCTTCTCTTATCCAGAAAAGACTTGTCTTCCCCATTTTTAAACTGAATAACATAAAGTGCACAAACATTAAGTATATAGTTTAATGAATATTTATGTATATATGCCCCTATACCCAGCACCTGGAGATAGAGAACATTTACAGAATACCAGAAGTCTCCCTCATGCCCCATTGCCAGTCAATAAACTAATCCTTCTTCCAAAAGTAGCCACGATTCTGACTTATATCACTATAGAAAAGTTTTGCCTGTTCTTGAACTTTATATAAATGATTTTATACAGTATTTATTGTTTTGTGTCTGGTAGAAGCCATATTCAATATTCTTTTCAAATAGAAACTTGAGGAGAAGCTAGAGTTCTGGATGGAGAAATTTGATAAGGACACAGAAATGAAACAGAATGAACTGAATGCTCTCAAATCTGCTAAGGCCAGTGACTTAGCACACCTTCAAGACCTTGCAAGGATGGTAAGGAAGCAGTGTTTCAATTGTGTAAGGCTCAGCACTGAGGAGTGGGTGGTAGCTAAGCTAAAGTAGCTGGGTAATGCTATTTTTGGTCAGAGTGGAGGTTTGCCTGTAAACCAATGGGATTCGATTTTGATGATCATGATGCTGATGATAACAATGACAACAGCAACACTGCTGGTGGGGACAATAACAACAGTAGCTAAAACTTGGATAGTGCTTACTCTGTCTGGGCACAATTAGATTTCACATGTACAACTTCTTCAACCTTCACAGCAGCCTCTTGAGATAGATACTGTTGTTATTTCTACTTTATGGTCTCTGAAGACAATTAGTAAATTATGATTTCCCAAATGCTTCTGATTATGGCTTTATCCTTGAATGCAGGATTTCCCAAATTTCTCTTTTAAAAGATGGCTACTATCTGATATGTACATTCTATCACAGCTTCTAAAAAAATTACATTATTTTGAGGCCATTAATCACAGCATTAATTAGTATTTTATTTTTATGAGATATTTTAAAAATTTTATTTATTTTTATAGAGAAGAGGAGGGATGGAGAAAAAGAGGGAGAAAAACACTGATGTGAGAATCACCAGTTGGCTGCTTCTCACAGGCACCCTGACCCGGGACGGAACCTGCAACCCAGGCATGTGCCCTGAAATAAATGGGTGACCCTTTGCTTTGTGGAGTGACATCCAACCAACTGAGCCACACCGCTCAGGGCTTTATGAAATATTTTAAAGCAAATTTGAATTATTTAAGTGGAAACAAACTTGGGAACAATTCCAAAGTTAATACATGAATATTTATAACATAGGAATCCAGTTTTTTTTCCCTGTGGTTTATCTTTAGATTTGGCATGCTTTATTTTAAAATTTTTATTGAAATTGCAGTGCTGGCTGGCCACAGCTTAGTCAAGATCCTTTAACACAATTAATGTCTACTTTTGCAGATAAGAGAGTATGAACAGGTCATCATTGAAGATCGTATAGAAAAGGAGAAGAATAGGAAGAATGTAGAACAGGCACTCCTGGAATTAAAGAGCGTCATAAAGGTAGAAAGCCATAGTTGGCATCTTGGGACTCCTTTAATGCTATAGCTGGTGTAACACTGAGGGATGCAAAGTACCTCTCATTTATTATCAAATACAGAACAGGAGATCTGTGAGGAAACATGCCCTTTGTTATTACTGTAATTTGCCAACACAGTCCAGTGGTGCAGAGAGACAGTTAACAGAAAAAGACACGCCCCCAACTCTTAATGGCGGGGGGGACGGGGGAAAGAGGCAGCTAGTGGTGGAAGCAAAACATAGAGTTTGTGCCCAGAGGTCAAATTTAAGGATACTATTTTTAACCAGAATAGCTCTTGAAAGAGTTCTAATATCCTACTGCTTTTGAAAATACAACTTAAAAGTTAGCTCAGGCTATCTGCTAGATTCTGATAAAAGCCATTTGAAAAAAAAGAAGGTAGAAGGGGTAAGTTTAGAAAAGAGGTACTTTAGTTTTACATGAACTTCTATAGGTAAGGAATTATTGACCTGGCAGGTCGGATTCTAGGAACTATCAAGCAAAAATAACATCAACTGAACAGAAACTGTTGTTTTGAGGATTGTCCTCATCTCTGAAAGAGATCTGCTGAGATCAAATGTACACAGACTGTAGTTTGGTTTGGGATGTTTATTAGGGGTAGATTAAGAAAGTAAGCTTTAAAGTACATTCAGGACCAGATATCCGGATCCAAACTTTAGCTTTCCATTAGGAGTCAGATATAGTTAGCAAGTATTTATTGAACTCCTCTGGTGTTTTTTATTTGCCAGGATTCCTCGACTGAGAGCAAAAGTCTAAGAACTGAAGACCACCTTTCTTTTCTTTTCACTAGTGGGTTTGCTTCCAGTCTTTAGGGCTTAGTGTGATTTTAAGGTAACCCGGACTGTATTTAGATCACTTGTGTCTAATGACTAAGATATTTAAGGTTGCTATCTAAAGCTTGGTTTTTGAAAATAGGAGTACTGATCCTTTAATCAGTCATTCAAGATACAAGTGCACCAGGGAGTCTGTGGAAGTAATCTAGATTATCTGCACACTCTTGACTGAATGCTTGCTTCTGCATGGGGCCAGGGTAACTCATAACTCTTTTGGATCCAATGGTTGTTAGATATGGGAAAGGATGTTCATAAAGAGCAGAAGTACAAGGGAGTCAGGCTTCTAAATATAAAAGAAAGATTCCTGTTTTTTTTTTTTTTGTATTTCCTGAAAACTCCAGAGTCCGAGCCTTAAGCCCGGCACAACTGTGAACACTGCTGTAGGGAGAGCATGCCACCACCACGTGTTGGTCCATTCTTTGGAAAGAAGTTACTTTATCAGAAACCAGTTCCCTTACGTAGAAAGAATGCAGCTTGTCAGGCATACTGTAAACTGTACTCACTCCCCGTTTCTCTTCCAGCTCCAGGCCTGGTGGCGAGGCACTGTAATACGGAATGAAATTGGTAGTTTCAGTATGCCTAAGAAGGATAAAGATGACGGCAAGGATTCAAAAGGTAAAGACAAGGACAAGCGGAGAGGCAAGAAATAGTGACCAAGGATCTTCTGTCTTCCAGTATTCTGGAGATGGGAGGGATTTGAATGGAATAAGAGAGATCTTTTATCATCACTTGTCTACAGGTTGTTTCTTATTTGGATATTCCCAGGTGTGGCCTTGTTATTTCATTTTGCCCATATTAATTTTCAGACCCCAAATTAGGATTATATAATTAAGGGTTTTTTCATGTTTTGAAAAAATTTTGCTGGGAAGAAGTATATCTAAGAGCCTTGTGAAGATTCCTCCTGCTCTTTCTTACAAAAAACAAAAAACTTCATAACAGTGACACATTAAAGCTTCTGTAATTCCTGTAATACGTCTCTGATTCTGATTTTATTTGGTCAATAGTGAAAAAACTCTTATGAACAAAAGTGAAGTGTCCAGTAGGAAGTACAAGATAACATTTATAAAGTGTCCAGTGTAATATACATATACAGTGAAGTTTTATTAAAGGTTGGTTCTTTCCTGTTTTAGATGATCATTTCAGTGTTTTTACTGGGGATTGGCGGTGGCATGGAATGTATACCTTACAAGCTGCATCAGCTCCTTTTCTGGGAAATAGGTAGGAATATAAATTATAAATACAAGAGAGAAATGAGATTTTAGGATAATCCACACAAGGTAAACATGGGGGACACTGGTCCACTGGAAGACTAGTTTGGAGATATTCTTTTAAAGACGTTATTTTCAGAGAGAGGGAAGGGGAGGGAGAAAAAGAGGGAAAGAAACATTGATCAGCTACCTTTCATTGTCCCCAACTGGGGACCCTTTGGTTTGCAGGACACCCAACCCACAGAACCACATGTGTTAGAGTTGGAAATATTTTTGAAAATGAGACACTAGGGTCTATACCTTCTTTGCTTACTCAACAATTCTCACCATATGGGGTGTTGAGTAAAAGAGATGAGGCATGTGAAAATACCCAGCCTGTGCCCTGATGGTTGGTTCTTCTCCCTATGCCCCTATAAAAGAATGTGCCTGCTGGGTCTTTCTAGCTTTACTTAATCATAACAGAGTATCTTGGGATGCTAAAGCTTTTCCAATGGCACAGCTGGTAGTTTCTGAGAGGAAAACTGTCCAAAAGTGTCACACATATTTCATGTACTAATAAGCCTTGTATCTAACTCCAATACAGGGTACTGCAGACAGCTGTACTTCCTTTAAAAAGTACGTTTTGATCAAGGGCTTATTATGAGGACTCAGTTTCTACTGATCTGATGTTCCTTTGGGGAATTAGATACTCTTTCATTTTTGCCAAGAAAACTGCTTTAAATATGAACATTTTCAAACCAGGCTTTATTTCATGCTATTGAAGTGTTGGCTTTTATCTTAATGTCAAGTGTAAGGTGGCAAAAACGCAATTTAAAATAACATACATGATATTGACATTTATACATACAACTTATGTATCATATTTACATACAAACATAGGATGTTTCACAAATCAGTTACTAATTACATGTTTACATTTTCAGAAAATGAATCCGCTATAAACCATTTCACTGCAATGTGTATATAACAAGGCCTGAAATATCCATGTTTTCCTTCATTTCTATAACCATTTAAGTGCTTGGGTTTTAAAAATTCATCATACTCGTCAGCATAGTCATACACTATTAGTCACTGCTGATCAAGTAAGAGAAATCAGATTCCTTGATTAGGCCTAAGGCTGTATTTCAAAAAGCTATGAAAGAAAGTGACCTACTAAGGAGCCTCCTATTCTGTTCTAGCCAAATACAAAGGCCCCTCCTCCCATGAGTTGTTTCCAGAGAAACATGGTTTGGAGTGGAATGTGTTTGAAAGCCCAGAAACCTGCTGACTGACTACCTATCTCTGCAGCTGGCAGGCAGGGGCCCTGGCGGGTGAGCACACAGCCTTGTCTTCCTTCACACTCAGCACTGGGGAGGCTGCCGCTTCAGCAGGAAGCTCTTCCATAAATGTTAGGTGGAGCTGTTACCAAGTCACCTGCATCTTACATGGAGTCTAGCAAGGCTAAATGTTAAACCTTCTTTTCAGTTAAACAAAGGTACAACTTAAAAAATTGCACATTACTAAAGGCAACTGATTTTTGTTGACATGTAAATTATACCTCAATAAAGTTTAAAAAAAATCGAAACAACGAAAACAAAGGTACAAACATTGAATACAAAAAAATTTCCAACAAAACCATCATGTTTTTGTATCTTAACAAATTCAATATATTCAATATTTTCCTTTTATTATCAACCAAAACTGCACACAATTTTTTTCTAGCAATTCAAATATAAATATGAATTAGTCTGATAAAAATTCATTAATAAAGTCTCATGCTATATGTAAAATGTGAAATAAGTTGAAATTTCCATTTACTCCTTGAGGAAAATTAGTTGCAGATGTTCTGAATGTTGCATTATGTATGTCTTCTGGGATTATTCCTTGCATTCTAGGTGACAGAGTCCTGTCCTTTGCTCAGTTCCATTCAAATAGCTCTCTATAATTTGGAGACTGTACTGAAGTTTAATGCTGACTAGAAGGAAAAATACCTATAGTTTAAAAATACACACAGTAAATTCTAAACAAGTCTATGATTAGTGGGTGTGTTTGGAACTGTAAATGCAATGGGTCTGACTCCAAGCCCTTAAAAGACATTTTACTTCTTTTCTGTGAGGACCCTGAAACATTGGGCTCTGAGTGCAGATGTTTTGTGTTACATAATTTTAAATGTGGACAAGTGGTAATGTTGTGATGAACTTGTTTCCTTGTGAGAACAAGGGGAGAATATTATTGTAATCAGAGACTCAACTTTTATCCAAAGTTACTTTTAGATGCTACATTTACATGATAAAAAGAGCAAGAACATTATGCTCAAATGCATGCGTTGGTAAAGGAAACCCAGAAAAGTTAACAGGAAAAAGCCTAGATAACTAGCATCTTCACTAACTCTACTTACTTCGTTTATAAAGGCAGTGAGTACCAAAACACATCACTGACAACTGAAAGGGGATCAAAATACAAGGGAAGAAAGACCCAAGTGGCCTGAACTTCTTGTCTTCCCACATGGCTTAGATAAAGGCTCCTGGCTTTGTGTTTTGCATTGTGGGAGACCTTGGGCCCCTTTATTCCACCCACAATTGAGTAAATGCGCTAGTGGTGGAGCTAGATGAAAAGACAGCAAGCCATTTTTAAAATGCCACAAGTGCTTTAATTCAGCCACAGGAACTGGCAGTTACCTGAAAGAAATGTAAGATTCTTGGCTTTTCCTTTATTACTTTTGCTTTGTTTTTATAATCTTCCATTAGTTAGGGAGCTGGAAGTGCACAGCTCTGATTGGAAGGTGTTGACAGGTCCAGGTATCCTGGGAGCAGCATGGGGAGGAAAGGGTGGGGGTTCAATGAAGTCCATGCACATGATGCTGAGCAGTGCCTTTCACTAGCCTGAGGATTTGGAACCCTCTTCTAAGTGTGACAGGCTGGAGTTGCGGGTGGGGAGGTTAGGACAATGGCCTTAATACAGTTGTATTTGTTTCACTGTTTCATTATGCAAAATCTAGACCACCTACATTGTTTTTGTTTTACCCTGGACAAAAGATTTTTTGTTCAAAAACCCCCAGTTCTGTTATTGTTTTGCCTTGGACAGAACTGTCCAAGTAGTCATAATATAGTTTTTAATTTTAAATATGTCTGAAAAACAGTGGAGTCGTTACTCCCCCAAATCATACAAACATCTAGTTGGGAACAGTTGTCTCCATTATGTGAAATACCTGGAATGTCTGTGGAAAATGCAGACAACCAGGCTTCACACTGGACCCTACTGAGTGAGAAGCTGTATTTTAACAAATGCTCCAGGACATTCTATCGAACAATCAAGTTTAGACACCAGTTGACTCTACAGGTCTTGGAAACATGTAAACAGAATAGCATGTCCGTGCCTTCAGAAGAGCTAAATATCCTTCTGAGATCTTTCTGGTATGTGGGGAAAAGCCTACTCTCTGGGAAAGCACTGCCCATGTAGGGTAGGTTCTCAGTAATGACAGGACTAACTTTTATTTGTGAAAACCATGTCTTCAAAACAATTCAATGGAAATGTATATAACCTCCCCTAAAATGGAGAAATAAAGCAAAATATTCCTGTTAGGAATCATGGAAACAGTCCCTTTACCCAGATGGCGGGCAGCAGCAATCACGTTGTCCTGTTCCGTTTTGGCCACGCCAGTGCCCAACGTGCTGGAAGTCCTTACACAGCAGGCGGCTGCTGTTGCTGCTGCTGCTGCTGCTGCTGCTGCTTGGGTGGGGCAAGTTCCAGGAGAGCCTGGACCGTCACTGCAACCTGGCTCAAACCTTTCTCTTCTAAAATGTGGAGAGGCAAACATAATTGCTCCTGAAATGGGATAATGTGACATAAAAACAAACACAAGAGAACATAGGATGAACATCACAGAACTGAAAAGAAAAAATACCCATCTCTTCTCCCCCTTATAATAATAAACTGAGATACGAAAAGTCAGTACCTGGGAAATTGACCTCTGTTAATATGAATTACACAGAGATGATATCTGACAGTATCACTTTATTAATATAACCAAAAGTACATACAGACCATTTTGAAAAGTGGAAAATGGACAGGTTAGATACACTTACACGTACAACAAAGGATAAGCAGAATACTATGGAGGGAAAGCAACCATTGTTCATTCCTGATAAATAAAAGCAATGCAGATCAGTACGGTGAAAACAGAAAAAGTTACACATTATTCCAGATAGATGGCTACAGCCTGAAAAGATGTAACATGGTAGGAGAAAGCACTTTGGAAATACATACCCTAGGAATGCAAGATTGTTTTGTGCCATCCCCACACTGCACCTGACAGGGAGGCCTGCCCTGTGACAGAAAAGCAGGGCTCTCCCACTCTGAGCCCCGGTACTGGGCAGGGGTCATGGGAGGAAACTGAAGTGTATTCTTAAGATTTAGATGTATTTGAGAAACTTTCCCCTACCTTGGATAATTCATGGAAAGACCGGTTTGAATTAAAAATCTGAATTATAAAATTAAAAAAAAAGAAAGAAACTGTATTTGAAAGTAAAGTATTTCATATCCTGCTGGTATTTAATGAATAAATTATACTGGAAAATTACGATGTGAGCTTAGGAATAACCTAATTGCCATATATTTAAAAACCGTTTACATGTTTGCTTAAGGAAGTTAAATACTTCTATCTTGTTTATCTCATTAATTTGTTTGGTCGATCCTTTCTTGTAAGAGAAAAGGGCATATGTTAAGAATACCACCTGCCACTGGTTTTTGTATTAAGACTAAATATTCAGAAGAGATTGCTCTCACAAAGGACAAAGAGGAATTCTGGTTTCATTAAAAAAAAACTATACATATTACATAAGATAACTGGATTTTTCTCAGCTTTTCATTGAAAAGCACTTACTATATTATTAGGAAGACTTACAAAATAAGTTGCAATAAAAAATATACCAAGCATTTATTTTGAGCAGTTATTGGTCCTTATGCTTGTTTCTTTTTAAAAAATACTTATCTGATAAAACAAGGTAACTGCTGTCTTTTGCTCTTACAAAACTGTCAACTTTGTATAAATACTTTCAGTGTAATCGCAAGTAAGGGTTAATTACACTTAAAATGAACTGTCAGGGTGCTTTGCTCCTGGAAGAGACCTATTTCTCGGCAGTGCCCCTGTGGCCTGTGTGGCCTGTGACTGAGACGTGTCCTCAGAGGCCATGCTTTCCAGATGTATGGTTACCTTCAGCTGCTTAGAGGGAACCTGTGTATTTTGAAAAGAGTGCACAATTACTCCCGCAAAACCACACACAAGACAATGTATTTTTTATCAGGTGTTTGTTTAAAGGGATAAAAGTCTACAAAACTAAAGGATCTCTGACTCAGAAACATGTTAAAAAAAGCCCCCTCCCCAACCTTGAAAGGCATTATTACTGTATAAAACTAAAGTTTTCAACACAGTGTGCAGTGTTTCAGCATTAACAGTAAACACTTTCTTAATGTGATAACTGTGTCATTTAATATGGAAGAAAATGGAAGCAATCAGGCTGACTTCTACAACAGCATGTTACACACTCCTTCATACTTGTGTTCAGTTGTCCAATTTTGATAACAGAGTTCGGGGTCCTGAATGTTCAGAAACACTATTCATGAGAGCTAGAATGTGCAATTGTAAAGTAGTTTCAAGCATTAAGGCCAGCGGCTAATATACTAATAAGCAATCTGAAAGCGACAATCATCACTGCCTTGGGTACAGAACACAGACTGCTGCCTGAAACTTTATCTACTACTGTTGATATAATCTCCTCAACAGCCTATAAAATACAAGTTCACCTATTAAGATGGTTGAAATGTATTGGTAATTACATACATTACAATTTTAAATTCTCAATAGGATTCCAGAAGTGAAGTTTAGTTAAAGATAAACACACAGTAAATCTGGACAGGTGCCTACCCCTGCAAAGTCAGCTCCAGCCCATTTGCTTGTCATGGACTGCAATGTGCACATCAGGCTCAGAAAAGCAATCTAGAGAACCTATATGACCTTTGGACTGAAAATTCTGATCACATTAACATTTAAAAAATTAAATGACTAGTGCCTTCCAGATGCCCAGAAGGCCAAAAGGGAGATTTCAGGGCACAGTTCAATGCAGGGATTTAGGTGACCACGTGCTCCCCAAATCTGAAAGGGTACAATTCTTTTTCTTACGAGCAGCTGTTGAAAATGTTCAACAACTTACAATTTCAACACTTAAGGTGTGTTCAGGCATGGAAAATGGCCAGATGGGAATTTTATTATGTAATTTGAAAATAAAGTTCTTAGTCATATTCTAAGAACAGGCTCAGGATTGTATGAATAGAAACGCGTCAGCACTTAATGAAAACAATACCACGGGCCGGGAGAATAGATGATGAATCACCAGGAGAAAACATGCTGGCCTTTTGCTCCTTGTTAGTCCTCATAAATGCTCACTAACTAATGCGATGGGCTGCTCATCTGGACGTGTGAGGAAAGGATTAATCTACTTTATCGGTTCGCTCTCTGCTGGCTAGGAAAAAAGCACCTATGTAAATATTTCTCAACAAAGAAACAAACCTCCTTTACCAAGCACAGGAGTGAGGTGGGAAACCATGGCAATGCAATCTTTCTGCTAGAGGGGGAAGATCCAGTAATAAAGCATACAGAGAGTCAACATTAAAGTACAATAAAATGTCACAAAACCCAAAAGCTGGACAGACAGAGAGACAAAACTGGATTCTTCTGAATGTGCCCCAAGAGAAAGTAGTGTTTCAACAGTTCTCTTAACGCTGAGGTTTAGCTGAAGGATGTCAGAAGGGGAACAAAGATTGTCCTGTCCAAAGTGTGAGCAGGAAAGGAAAACAGAAAAACAAAGTCAGTGGATCAGAAATACAGATTTGAGTATAGAATTCAATATGACCGTCTCAATCATATTCAAAGAAACATATAACATTTTTTACTATGATGAATTAAAATGCTGAAAAAATAACAAAGAATTCTCTGTGTACAAAATAGCTGAATAAAACTGGCTGGCTGGTGCCTAGTATGAACATTCAGGACACAGTGAACAGCCCTGGATGCCGGCTGAGGGCCGTGTGCAGCCTGAGAACGGTGAGGTCTGCAGGAGGGAACCGCTTGCTCGACTCTCATTCTTTCTTTTTTTCAGAAAGCAAGGACAAAACCTGGGTGCAGGCTGACAGGGAGGTTTTCAAAGCCAGATAAATTGAAAAGGCTCAAAAAGGAGGAAAGCCTAATCATCAGAGAAATTTACTAGCTGGAAGTAAGGTGTACTGGATGATTTGGTGTTCCATCTTAACCACATCTAGTTCAATATGCACAAAGTGAAACACAGTCACAAGGGGCTCCATAGATCATCCAAACCTTCCAGTTCACAGATTAAGACATTAAATAAATAAATATGTTACTGGACTTGATAATGGGAAAATATTATCATCACGTAACATAGTAATTTTAGGACATAAGATACTGCTCTCACCTAGAAATTTTTATCCCCCACTGTAGTTTTTTTAATGTAACATATATTTAATAAAAGCATGATAATAAAAATAGCCCTATGTCCAACCTCATCAAAGGTTTTTAATAGTCAACTTTTTTAGTATTTCATTCATAGTTTACCTTGTAAACACTCTAGAAGTTATATTAAGAAAGGAAACTGTTTGCCTTTACACACAGAATCTGATTATTTACAATATTAAATTTCACATTCTACCATTTGATTTTCTTTACAAGTCAGACAGAAAGAATGGCTGATGGCTTCTAGGTAATTTAGAACACTCAGAAGCAGGGGAGAACCAAGGAGGAAGAAAAGGCATAGATTTTCCCTTTTCTCTTGCAGCAGAGGGCCCTGAGCATGCTGGTTTGAACCTATGAGTCTGTGTATTTGTTCATTCTCCTTCACTCTGTTCAAAGCAAGTGACTAATTTTTGTAGCAGAAGTAGCAGCCTAACAGGAACCCCTCTCCAAGAGGTGGCAGTGGTGGTGGTGGGAGAGACGAGGGTGGAGGGCAGAGGAGAGGAAGAGGCGGCCTGTGTGGGGTGTCCATTTCCCCTTTCTGGTGGGGAGGAGGGAAAAGGAGGAAGGATGTGTCAAGAACCCCCATCTCCCCACCCTGTCTTTTATTTTTTTTCTCCTGCCTTCAAACAGCACAGCTTTGACAGGAATAGGGGCAAGCCTGGCCCATAATACATACTGTTAACCATTGCTTGGCAAATACTGAAGCATGATAAACGCATGCTTTAAGGAACTCTATGTTTGTATTTTGCTGACGGATGGCAGGTACATTCTGAAAGAGTTGCGGTGTACGGACTTTAAATCTGGGACAGATGATGGTTCTCTAAAGCCTAGAGTCTAGGCACCATGACAATAAACACCGGTAAACAGTACTTTTAACCAGTTTGACATAGGCTAATTCTGCTAACATGTCCTACTGCTTGGGGCTATTTTTAGCACTCTTCTCTCTTGTACGCAGTGACTCTTTTCATTCACTTGTATCTTTTTTCTAGTTGCCATTACTAGCGTAATGTGATGACCAGGTAGGAGCATCTTCAGCAGACAGAAGGGGAGCACTGAATGTTAATATGTACATACGAATATTAGAACTTGTTTGTTAATATGGAGAAAATGCATGCTATTTGTTTAGACAATTTATTAATGCTCTTTTACTGGCTATATGTTTAAAAATGGTTTATTCTAAAGGAGATGAAGAGCCTTTTACTATAAGATATAAAACTATGAGATATAAAAATGAGAAAAAGTTTTTGAATTTGTTCATAGGAACAATAAAGGTCCTTGCTAACTACTACTAAATGTAAATCACAATTCTTTTATAATTCAGTTTAAAAAAACACAAAAGTGAAAAATACATAGTAGAATCATGATCTATTTAATAAAAGAAAAAAACCTTGGGAATTCACACTGTCTAATGAAGGTGCTCTGTGGACTGGGCTCTTTCTCTTCCATTTTGCAACATGTGAAAGAGCTGAAAGAGAAAACTACTCCTTGGTCTTATGATGCTCTGACCTCCTCAACTCAGGGTTGGTGAACGGGATAAAGAGAGCGGCCACACTGCTGTGACAGCTATCAGGACAGGGCTTGGCTTCAGGAGAAACAGTGTTGTTGCTGGGCCCAGGGCCAGTACCAGGTTCCTCACAGCTAACTAAGAAGGAGATAGAAGAATCATGTTCTTCTTCTTGAAGGTTGGACAAAATATGATGACAGGAACTGTAATGGTTGTGATTAATGAAAAAAGTATCAAATGTCACCAAACTATTTCTTTAAATTTGATTTCATTAAATATAATATTTCTTAAGAGTACCAAAGGTACCATGCTTGTTAGTTTAACAGAATTGTTTTTTTTAAAAGGCTAAATGAATAAAAAGTGTAACAAGTTCATGTCCCTTAATTACATCTATAAAGTTTAATTTTTTGTACTACTAAAGTGCAATAAAGTTGTAACTGAAGGAGCTGGAGGAAATAAATCCTGTTCAACAGCAGGACAATTGCCTAGAGATGGCCTCTTGGGTGGTAAATTCTAAAGTATTAGAGCTTGGAGGGAATACCGGGGACATCTGAACACGGTTGGTTATGTAGTTCACAATATCGTCCCAGTGTCTGTGCGTTTGGACAACATAGTATCTTTATGTAGGTGTGAACAGTAGAGGAACCTGGGTGAAGTGCAGACAATAATTCTCTGTGATATGTGTTTTTAAAAGATTTTATTTATTTATTTTTAGAGACAGGAGGAAGGAGGGAGAAAGAGAGGGAGAGAAACATCTATCAGCTGCCTCTCTCATGCCCACAACCCAGGCAAGTGCCCTGACCCAGGACAGAAATGGTGACCTTTTGGTTTGCAGGACGATGCCCAACCCACTAAGCCACAGCAGTCAGGGCCTCTGTGATATTTTTGCAATATTTCTCTAAATCTAAAATTATTTCAAAGTAAACATGTAAAAAAAGTATTAAAGCAAGTGTTAAAAACCCTGAAACCAACTGAAGCATTCTCAATCTGAGATGTACTTACTTTGAATCACAGACTCTACTATATATAAAGATGTATTACTACAAATCAAACAGTGCGTGGGGATGTTTAAGAAAATATCAGAATACCTATTTTGATTACTTAGCATGAATTATTACAATATATTTAAATTTATATGTGTTTGGTTTCTTTGCTTGGTCCTTGCAAATTATTATGAAAACTGCTCAAAAGTATATCGATTGAATCTAGTAACACAAAATCATGTTGCATTTCTGGAATGTTTTAGGAAAATAACACCGGAGTCTATTTAGGCAATATTAAAAATTATAAATTTATTACCTGAGGTACACCAATTTTTCTGCAGGCTTCTAGGAAATTCTCCACATTTCGCCTGCATTTTGCCATTGTTAATTTAGGCTGCAAAGGAAGAAAAACATGGTGTTACTAGTGAAGTCTTAAAAATTTTGCTAACTTTAAAAATATTCTTGCTAATTGCTTTATAAACTCAAAGTTCTAGATCACACCATTGGCAAACTCATTCTTTTTCTATTTTTTAAAAATTGATTTTAGAGAGAAAGGGAAAAAGAGGAGGGGGAGAGAGAGAAACATCCATTTGTTGTTCTACTCATTCACTGGTTGCTCCTTACACGCGCCCTGACCAGAGAGTGAACCTGCAACCCTGGCGTATTTAGGACGACACTCCAACCAACCAGGCTATCCAGCCAGGACAGCAAATTTTCTCTTAAATTATCAGATAATAAGTATTTAAATCTTGGGGGGCCATATGATCTTTTGCAACTAACTACTCCATTCTTCTAAGAACCTGAAAGCAACATAGATAATATATAAACAAGTAAGTGGGACTGTGTTCCAATAAAATTTTATTTACAAAAATAGGTGTTGGCCTTAGGCTTACCTCTCTAACTACATCTCCTGCCATGTGCACCCACACATTGTGTATGATCTGTTCTGAACAACTTTAAAATTCCTTGAATGTACCATGATCTTCCTTCTCTTTCAAATTTAGCAATACTATGTCAGAATTCCTACAATTTTACCTCTTGTGGGAAGGCTTTCCTGAACTCTCCAGGCAGGATTAAGTGGTCCGTTTCTTGTATTCCTATAGCAATCTCTTACACACCTCCCTTGTAACATTTACCACATTGCTATCAGTCATTATTTACGTGCTTATTTTTTCTCTAGTAGAAGTGAAGGCAGGGACTGCAATGCTCATGTCTGTATCTCTACCATTCTGCACAATGCCTGCTATCACACTTAATAAGCTACCGTTTTTTAACATTACACACTTACTACAGCTGGTGAGGGAACATGAATACTCGGGACAGATCGAGGCCGAACGTGATTGGCCAAATGGCAAAGAACAACACCATCAGTTAGAGCTGCTCCAAGATCACAAGGCAGAGATACTTTCAACCGGTACTCAATATGCTAAAAGAACAGAACATGTAATATATTACATTAGAAATCAAGATAAAATGCAAATACCAAGTTGATAGTCCCTATTTTAGCCTTTTATCTAAGTCAATAGGTTAAGGAGACCAATTACACATGTGTGGCAACTAAGCCACAGTGGTGCAAAATACAATGAGGAATTCATTTATAATTTTCTGTTAAAAAAAAAACAAAAACGAGGTTGTCTTTCAACTCCAAAATAAAAAATACACTATATATGATATATAATATGTATATGAGCACATACATATAAATTACTGTTACTCTTATAAGAATTCTATACATGAGGCAAAATATTTTTAAAATGAGTAGGACCAAGGATTAAGCTTTACAGAATAACCCATCTCATTCTCCTAGTAAAGAGCTGAAAAAATTTCCTTAACAGCAAAATTTCTTTTATATTCACCATGCAATGGGCACTTCTTAATTTTATTGGAAATTATAAGACATGTAAACAAGTGATTGCAGGATGATGGACTATAAACCAGTATCAATGAAAAACTAATTTAAAGATAATATACACACTTTCCGTAGTTGATCTATTGATTCCAGTTCTTCTTCTTCCCTCTGCCTTAAATTCTGTCTTGTTATGGGATCTGTAGAATCAGTAGTAGTTGCAGAAGACGAAACAAGGGGTGAAGGATGACCTAAAAATTATTAACGTGTAAGACAGAAAGGTGATTTGCCAGTGTCAGAAAAATACTTTGATCCACCCAATCACACTTTCCTTGTAAGTACAGCACTTTCTATTTCAGGATTCATGCTTTCAAAAAGATTTTAGTTATGCTAATTTTCAAATATACAAAATCAAAGTGAGAATAGTATTAAGAAAAAACCCCAACAAATGTCCATTATGCATTTGGCTCAACCACTTTTGTTTGATTACAACCACTCATAATGTTTTAATTGAAAAACAACATACATGTAGAAAATTACACACAAATCATAAGGGAGAAGCACAATAAATTATTTTCTAAAAGTGAACACAACCAGTTCAATAAATGCAACGTTACCAACATCTAGAAGCCTCCTCTCAAGCCCCCTCCCCATCAGTACATAAAGGTTACTTCTGTGTCCTTCCTGACTTCTAACACCAGGTTAGTTTTGTCCATTTTTGAACTTTTTATAAATGAAACCATATTTATGTACGCACGCTTTTGTGTCTGCTTCTTTTGATCAACATCATGTTTATAAGATTTGTCCATGTTATGTATATTAATTTGCTCATTTTCATATGATATCCCAATGCATAAATATACCACAATTTTTTATACATTCTATCATTGATAGGTGTTCAGTTTGGGGCTATTATGAATAATGTTGCTATGAATATTTTTGTACATATCTTTTTGTATACATGCATACATATCTCAGAAGGCAGAACTGCTAGTCATAGAACATACAAATGTCCAACACTGGTAGGTAATGTAAAGAGTTTTCCACACTAACTCAATCCCATCAGCAGTAGGTCTCTGGTTTAATTTTTGCATCTCACTGCAAGTGCATCCATCAGTTACATTAAAAGTAGTTTTGGACTTAAAATCTATGTTTTTAATTTCAGGCAATTTCTTTTGGGATGGGGCAGAAATTTGTCATATTAAGTAAAAAAAAAATGAGGCCAAGAAGATGTAAAAAAATTACTGATTCATTTATTTAAGAATACAGAAAACAGCTTTTATTAACAGAAAAATATGAAATAGAGCTCATTATAGAGAGGAGGAACATTCTCTAAAGGCTTGAAAGACAATTTTATCTGTTAAAGTACTATAACCCGCTTTTAGGCGGTACAAAGAAACTTTCTAATTAAAACAAATTCAAAGAAGTCTCCTGCTTCAATGTCAGCGAGACTGCAGATAGATGCAGAGTTTAGAGCCTTTGCCAAGGTGACATCTCAGGGTAGAAGTGGGAAAGCATGTAACAGTGTCGTTGTATAAAACCGCCCCTCCTCCACTTTGAGTCACGACCTCCCACCTTTATTTGTTTCCGCTCTGACAGCCGATTGGAAAAGGAAGCTTTCCGGGCGCTGGGCGTGGCTTCTCTGCATAGCAGCAGGAAAAGAATATGCGGGAAAATGATGAACTAAATTGGCAAAGAAAGAAAATTAGATAAAAAGAAACAGAAAATCATTAAATATGTAACAGACATATGTCACCCAAGTTCAATAAATGGAAAATAAAAAATAAAATCAAATATGGCAATGCTATAAAAAGATAATTTTGTTAATATGAAATCTGGTACAGAAAGTAACCCTGTCAGCAGGAAGGCTGCTTGTATCTATTTTTAACTGTCAATAACGTGTTATTTCTGATGTATCAGGAAAGGCAGAATGAGTGTTCCTGCACTGAATATGGTCTCTTGCAAACACACCTACAGCACTGCTTGCTCATGCTCATTTGTTCATATCAAACTGCTGAATAGTTGAACAACCAGCTGAATTAAAAAGCTGAAAACGTGCAGAAACTTCCCAATTTTGCATCTGATTTCTCATCTCAGGAAAGGAAGCTACAGGTCTCTGATAGGTAATTTGTCAGCTAGGTGGGTACTTGAAATATTGGGAGGGAAACACTTTGTAAATATGATTGTCTAGCCACTATGCTGTACACCTGAAACTAATACAAAATAATAGTGAATATAAACTGTAAAAAAAAGAAGTACTTTAACAGGAAAATCCTGGTAAAGAATTATAATCTTGATGTGGTAAATTGCACCTCTGTGTCCATTACCTGTTTCTGTTGTAGGTGAACTTGATACAGCATTAGATCTGTCGTCATTCTGTGGAGAAACAGAAAACTAATTGTTATTCAAAAAGAGATACTCTCTGCATTTATGACAACTTTGGGATAATAAAAAAAAAATCCATGCAACTCTCCTTCAAAATTAAGTCTAGAAAGGATGATTTTGCCTAATGTATTAATTCTGTATGTTTGTTCAAAGGCCAAATTTTTAATTTAATTCTACAGAACACAAGGTCTATGTACTGCAGCCTCTGAAGACAGTACTATTGTGTAACAGGCCTTTCCTGTGCTTGTAAAAAAGATCATCCTAAGGCATAAAACTTTACTGGGAAAGGTACAGGAAAGAATAAAATTTTATTTTATAATAGTTTATTTCTGGTATGATTTCTAAAGTATTCCTCCACCCTCCTCTGGAGAATAAAATTTAATGTGTTAAGAAAGAGTGATGAAGGTTTCTTCGCTTCACTTAGGAAATAAGGTGCTTAAACATTATAGATAGCTGTATTCCCAGACTAGTATTTGAGTCCAAGATGTTTTTAATTCATTGAACAAAGGAAGAAGAGCTAAGTAAACTGGTATAAAGTTTACCTTAAAAAAACAAAATGTAGTTAAGTTAATTTAAAAAGAAGCACCAGTTGGTTGGGTTAGAGATGCTGCAGACTTGGCAGGGGAACAGAATCAAGAAAAGCTGGAATAACAACAATTTTTCAGGTCTTACATCTAATTATACTCAAATATAACTTTATAATAACTATGACACATTCTTGAATTAACAAAATGACTTTAAAACATACACACACACCCACACCCACACCCACACCCGCTTCCATGGTTTTTCTCTTTTCTGGTTTCAATATTTGTAGAAATCTTTTATACCTAATTGGAGATCAGTCTGATGAAATTTCTGACAGGGAATTTTAACTGCTAAAATAAATGAAGGAAGGAAGGAAGCCATACTATTAAGTAAATTCTTGGATTGATCTGAAAGACAATTTTGTGGTAACTATTCCTTGGTTTGATAATCTTAGGTTGAGAATTATGACTTAAAGAGCAAGCTGCACCCTGGCTGGTGTCACTCAGTGGATTGAGCACTGGCCTGTGAACGAAAGGGTCAATGGTTCAAGTCCCAGTCAGCGCACATGCCTGGGTTGTGGCCAGGTCCCTAGGAGAGGGTGCATGAGAGGCAACCACACATTGTTGTTTCTCTCCCTCTCTTTCTCCTACCCTTCCCCTCTCTCTAAAAATAATTAAATGAATCTTAAAAAAAAGTAAAAAAATAAATAGAGCAAGTTGCACTCTTTAGTGAGGCAATGTATTATTTCTTCATTAGTTAAAAAGATATGTTCATCAAGTCTACAGACAACAATAAACTAAATTTAGAATGTTGAAATGAAATGGAAATTTAAATAAATTTAAAAAACAATAGGAACTAGTGAAAGAAATGAAGAGGCAATGAGGCAAACCTGGATGTCTTTACAAGGAAAAGACTATCTTTCTTTTCTAAGAATATGAGATAGGAAGGGGAATGCTAGTTAGCTAAACAAAGATCTGTTCCAGGACCAACGGCAAAAATAGGGAAAACAGTGGAGATTATTCCAATATAAAGTAAGAATATTTTAAAAATATTTAAAAAGACTTATTATTAGTAGGAATTAGGTTAAGGAATAAAGGGCTCCTACAACCACATCAAAATTATACCTAAAATATAGAACTATCACTCAACAGTCAGAAATCAAGTGGAATGGAAGTCTGCCAACTATGGAATAAAAGACCACATCCAACCAGACTCGTAGAAGGGGCAGAAACGTGGAATGGGTGTCATATCCACATGTGGTGGATAAAAATTCAGCAGGAGTATCTAGGGAGTAAGGAGTCCCAGGCCCACACCAGGCCCCCCAACCCAGGGTTCCAGTACCAGGCAGGTAATTCCCCATAAGTTCTGGCTGCAAAGAACACTGGGGATTGAGTCGATGGAAGAAACTTCTAGACTCCCAAGCATTTCCCCTTCAATAACCCACACACAAACTTACTGGGACTTATTCCCTCTGAGTTCCAGTATCAAGGTAGCAGCTTTAAAGATACCAGTGGCAGACAGGGAGGAACTGAAGTGTCTGGCATCAAGGTGAGGCAGGAGGTAGTCAGGAAGGAAGCTCCAGAGGCCCCGCAGGGCTGAGGTAGAAAACACCTATACATGACAAAGACCCCCTAAGACGGGTTGTTCCTGTTTTCTGGGATAACTCTGAATCATAGAATGCGCCTGCGCGCTACCCCTGATTCATTATAATATCATTATAATGAAATAACATTGTGGGACTCCCTTCTCCAGTAGCCAATCAAGAAAGTCATGGGAAACCACGCATGCGCAGTAGCTTTGAAATCCAACTCCTTGTACCTGCGCAGGAAAAGCCCGCCAAAGACTAGTAGGGGGGCTTCTGCCCCTATAAGAATAGAATCCCCCAGCCCACGTGCCCTTTTTTTTTTCCCTCTGCTCAGAGCTGGCTCACTCCCATGTCCTGTGGTGTGTACTATCACTTAATAAACCTCCCCTCTTTCTTTATGCTGTAAACTTTGTGTGTTCGGTTCAATTCTTTGTTCTCGATCACTAAGAACCTGGTTACCTGTGCACACCTGTGTACACCTGTGACAGTTTTTGGCGAGCCAGCTTAGGAGAAGACACCGGAGTGGTAAGCCCCCTTTGATGCTCTGACACCCGGGATGCCCTTTTCCGTTGTCACCTATTCTGTTTCGGTGACTCTGATGTTCCGTGATGGAAGGTCGGCCGCTAATTTGCGGGCACAGGTCGGGCAGTTAAAAGCCACAAGGGCGCCCGCCGCTTGAAGACTCCTGTGATAGGATAACTTGGATGCGGAACGGGGTTAGCCTTAGTCCCCGCCAGGTACAAGAAAATGTCTGCACAACGGTCAGGCACACTGTGGAAAGCACAAAACACTGCCCCCACCCCCGCGGCCACTCCCCCAGTAGGCATAGTCGGACCTTCCAAGCGGGATATCAGTCACCACCTCACCTGCGCTGTGACTTCCTTTTGCATTCTTTTCATCAGGCCCATGGACAGTCTTTTATGCTTTTCCTCCCCAACTGACTTCTGATCTTTATACCTTCACTCACACCCCACTTGCCTTTTATGTATGAAGGGTTCCTGCTGTCTTTGTACTAAGATATCTACCTTGGGGTCATTGATAGGCTAGCGCTAAGTACAGTTGCAGGAATGAGCCACTCCCATCTTTGCCACGTGTATACTATCATTGTAAGCAGCAACATCGCTCAGAACTGCACAACAGGTGCCTGCTGGTCGCTGGTTACTAGAATGGCTGCATAGAGCCACTCTTACCTAATTAATTTAATTTGGAATTCTAAGGTGGTTTACTTGTTTCTGTAAGGGTATTTTAATTTTCCCCTCTCAGTTCATTGTCCCTCCATGAGATCCGCCTCCAGTATGAAAGGTGGTGTTTTAGACATCGCTTGAGGTCCCTTCTGGGAGATTTCAGACACAGGTACAATTTCTTAAAGCTCTGGAAAATTACATGGAATATTTAAGGGTCTTCTTTGTGATCTGAAAAAGAGTCATTTTATAATAAGATCATCTTGGTGCTCCTCTTAATGGTTTACAGGGCCACAAATTATTTTTCTAGTAAGACACTTCCTTTTCCCCAGATCTTAAAGCTTACAGGAAAATGAGCGTCCCCGTAGATGAAGAATATAGAAATGGAAATGTATTAGGGCCACAAGGGTAGAGTCTGGGATTTTCAGGATTATAGGCAATTGCTCAAGAATGCAGGACTGGTTTCTTCCCAATAGTTAGAGACAAAAGTAGACTGTGGTGATTCTCTCAAGTCTTTTAAATTTCTGTCAGCCGACACTCACTAGGATTTCTTTCGCCAGAGACGTCTGGTAGTTCGGTGGGATCCCAGGGGACGCCCTGTGGCCCACTAGGAAGCTCCTGAGGCAAGAAAAGGGGGACGCCTCTCGATTGCAAGGGAGTATCTTTCTCACTAGAATCTCTTTCGCCAGAGACGTCTGGTAGTTCGGTGGGATCCCAGGGGACGCCCATGGCCCACTAGGAATCTCCTAAGGGCAGCAAAGAGAGGGACGCCTCTAGTCTGCAAAGGAGTATCTTTGTGTTTCTCTTCTCTTAGGATCACCGCAGTCGAGATGGGAACTACATCTTCCATCCCTTCCAAATCACCATTGGGTTGCATTCTTAGCAACTGGGATAAATTTGACCCCAAAAATTTAAAAAAGAAGAGATTAGTTTTCTTTTGTAACACTGTTTGGCCCCAGTATAAATTAGGGGGGTGGAGAGATATGGCCTGAGAATGGGAGCACAAATTATAATACTATCCTACAGCTAGATCTATTCTGCCGGAGGGAAGGCAAATGGTCTGAAGTTCCTTACGTGCAGGCATTTATGGCTCTGTACCGAGATCCCTCATTTTGTTCCAGCCCCACCCTGACAAAACCTACAGGCCCAAGTGTTGCTCAATTAGAAGATACCCTCCTTAGCTCCCCACCTGTCTCTCAAGGGAGATTAAGAGAACCCCAGAGTTCTGAAGTCTCTGCCCCCTACCTTAGAGGGAGCGACCTCTCCACCACCTTATGCTATGGATAACCTAAAGCCATCAGCTGAGGAAAAACCCAGCCCTGCAGGACATACTAGAAGTGGCGCTTCTTATCTCCCTACCACTCCTGCACTCCTACCCTTGAGGAAGGTAGCAGGCCCTGAAGGTGCTATAAGGGTACAAGTGCCATTCTCTATAACTGATTTACAACAATGTAAAGACAGGCTAGGGAGTTTTTCAGAGGACCCTTCACGTTTCACTAGTAATTTCCAGACCCTTACTCTAGCATTTAGTATGTTGTGGAGGGATTTGTACATAATTCTGACCACCTGCTGTTCCCCAGACGAGAAACAGCGGTTCTGGGAGGAGGCCCGTAAGTATGCAGATCAGCTGCATACCCAGAACCCTGGCACTAACCAGCCAGCTGCCCAAGCTGTCCCGGACCAGGAACCTAACTGGG